GGAAGAGCACTCATATCTAATCAACATTCAGAACAGAGGCACTGACCAGAGTATTCGAGTTCCCATGAATTTTGAATTGAGACCCAGAGTTACCGGTAGAGCTTCAAACGCCTACATGTTTATTTATCTATTTATTTATGCGTAATGACGCGCCTGAAGCATTATGCTGTATGCGAAATCATCATGCAGACTCGAAAAAAGAAACAAAACATAAAGCACACAGAAGGTCGTTCAGGCGAGCAGCTTCCTCCAGAACATGAGCAAAAGAGTTAGGAATGATACTGTGACGACTGAAACTCGACCCTAACGGTAAAGTCACAAGAGGCTATGAGCGCTCTGACCAGAGATGTATGGGATAAACGCTGCAGTGTAAGCCAGCACCAGTCGGCCATGGTGCCCTTAGCGCCACTTGCGGGGTCATGGGAGCTTACCGGCACTTCGAAACACGGGTATGCCGACCACCCACGTGGAACCGATAAACTTGGCAAAACCCGCCGCGCCGTATCCCTATCACTCAGACCAGAGACCTCATCACCATACCATGCTTAGAGAGTTGTAACGTAATTTGTCATTCTGAAGTGAATCAAATAAGTATCATTCACGCGAAGATAGGACTAGTGAGGAGGCCACCCTGCTTGAGCAACCGAAAAGAGTGAACAATATAGGAACAAACCGATTACAAAAACTACGATACGTCTTCTACGCCAAGAGTTCCCAGCAAATCTAGTTTGTTTAAGCTGCCTTAAACTGAGAAGAGTTCTGGCACAATAAAACAGGAAGAAGGTAGACGTGAAAGCCAACGAGTCGTGCGTAAAATGAAGCAGTTGTGACGAAGTTGCTTGTGGAATTTGCCCATTTTATGGCCGAAAAATTGGAAGCCGCCTCGTCGTCCACTAGACGGTCGAAATACCCAAAACTTTGATGGCCGGAGTCGCAGTTCTCCTTTAAGTATCTTAAATGCAAGAACCAGATCAGATATAATCCTTCTGTGGAAAGAGACTCTTCAAATTAAGTTCCCGGAGACGAGTTCCATAGGACGGGACAGTGTCAGGGTAACTCATGCTGAGGAATGCTTTGTAGTACAAGATCCGAGTGAAAGTTTTCTGAACTTTCTCGAGCTTTTGGATGTCTTTGACAAGGTATGGACTCCAAACGGGGCTACAGTATTCAACAATAGGAAGAATACATGATTTGAAGAGTCTGATCCACATGTCAATATCGAACAGTGAATGTTTCTGAATAGGAGATAGACCAACCTGAGCGCTTTATTGCTAGCTTCGTCCACCTGGGCGCTCCAACTCAAATTTTTCGATAATTTGATTCCCAAGTCTTTCATTTACTCACTATGCTTTATGGTAGTCTTATCCGGTGCGGGACTTTTGGTGCGTCCGGGGTTGCACGCGGCGAATCGCGCGGCGGGCTGCGCGGCGATCCGGACGAGGCAAGTCTTCGCGGGCTTCTGCAGTGGAATCCAACACGTCAGAACGTGTGCAGATCGCGGATAGAATCCACAAGGTTCTGCGATTCGAATTACATTCCAACGCGTGGATATTCAAAGGCAGCGGCAGGAAGAGAAGAAAAGGAATAGCAAAAGGCTGTTATAGCAATCAGGGCGCTTAGGTTGCTGGCGCTTGTTGTTAAGGGGGGGGGGAATCCCATGAGCGGAGAGATTCAACAATTTATTGTGTTTGGGACTAAGCCTGAGGGAAGAGTTTCTCGTGGAGGATGTGAGCAATTTCTGTTCTCCCGAGCGTATTTCCCTTCTCATGAGCTTAGTTCTAGTGTCACCTTCCATTGGCCCTGTTTTGAAAGTTCCCCAAGGACAGGAGCGCCGCGATTAGCAAAGATACTAATAAAGATAAGATAAAGAAATGACTCCATATTTAGTGTTTAGTTTTCTTATTCATATTTATACTATGATAATAATGATATCTCTATGAAGTTTCTCTCTTTCATCTCCTTTCGCTGTAATCTTCTCACTGACACCGCTGCATTTCACCGATCTCCGCGAGTGGGAAGTTTCTTTCAAAGCAGAACCTTGTGGATTCTATCCGCGATCTGCACACGTTCTGACGTGTTGAATTCCACTGCAGGAGCCCGCGAAGACTTGCCTCGTCCGGATCGCCGCGCAGCCCGCCGCGCGATTCGCCGCGTGCAACCCCGGACGCACCAAAAGTCCGTCACCCGTCTTATCGGCAAGTATACCTCGACTGGAGACGTCCCTATTGAAAATGAGTACGTTCTGCTGGTATTGATTTCTAACCTCCAGGATTCCAAACAATCGATCATCTTGTAGGGACGTAGATCGGGGCGGGCGATACAGAAGGAGAAATCTTTGCTTGCAGGAATTTGGTAGGCAGATGTCAAAGCATAAGACATCTGAACTAAGAGAGCTGCAATCGAATACGACTCTCTCAAACAAAAGAATATTATGCAAAAAACACATACACCTCCTCCTGCCTTACCGTGCCTATCTTTTCTGATTATCGTGTATGGGAAAATTGAACAAAGTTCTGGGTCCGTGATTTTGCTGTTCAGCCAAGACTCAGTAATAAAAATTATAACTGGGTTTGCGAGTTTCCATGAGATAGTGTAGGTGGTGAACTTTATTCATCAGGCTACGTGCATTAAACAAAGGCAATCTGAGCAACGGTTTCGTAGAGAAGCTAGTTTTTTGAAAACGGCGAGGAGGGAGTATGTGTTTTTTAACTCTTGTGATGTCAGACGCCTTTGTAATATCTCCTTTGTACACCACACGAACTTTTTTATCACTGAACTCTTTATCGTTCAACTAACGAGCCTGATTTCGTAGATCGTGTTCCTTTTCACGCTCATCAATAGTCATCGATCTGCGCACATATACCTCCTATAGTCCAATATAGCACGTAGTATTACGAGCCTTAGATAAAGTTTCTAAGCATGAAACGCCGAGAGGAAAAACAAACACTTGACGACACCGTGGTTTTCCCCCCACACTTGGCCCATCCTGTATACTTCTACAGGGCGAGTTTCGATGTCGAGGGAATCCAAGATACCCGATATGCACCTCTCCGTATGTGCTTGACGCATCGACGAAGACAAAGCACCATCAGCTTCTGGTATCCCATAAGAAACAACTGACTTCTGTCTCTTGTCACTCTCAAATTAATCCTTAGACAGCAAAGGAACTCGGAACTTGCCCAGGAACTTGTCGAGGAGCCGAATGACTTCGGGCGCCTTTGAAGCCAGAGTTTCATGAATTTGATTCAGTAGGGTAATACCATCGTTGTCCAGAATAGAATTAGCCATTGTCCTGGCCACAGACTGTGAGGACAAGTTTGGTCCACTGTTTTGCTGGGTGGGAACCGGGATCATTCTGAGCAAATCAGTGTAGTCGACTGCTCGCGGTGGGCGCAGAAAGGCGAATGTGGCGAATATTGCAAATATGGTGAAATATGGAAATCAAAACTGCAAAACGAACCTGCCAAGGAAGTTGTAAGTTGTGAGTGCCAAAGTTGGCTAAATTAAAGCATTGCATATGAATCCTCGTAGCTGGATCCCGGCTTCTGGCGTCGCTCGCGGTCGTAAGTGGTGTGATACCTCTCTCGCTGTTCACTTTGTCCGAAAGGTTATGAGTTCTTCTTCTCGCCGAAATGCGACATTCGGAGAGCATTAACCGCTACTTTACGGCAAGTTTGGAAATGCCCCGGGTCGACTAGCTCGCTCATACGGATTCTTCTTGACTCGTTACTCTAGCCCTAACTTTGACGCTCACAACCCTCCTGTTGGCAGGTGGGTCTTTGCACGTATTAGTACTCTCTATTTATTGGCTAAATAGCGCATTGACTCTATCGTACTATCTGGTCTTCAAAATGTTAGAAGAGAGTTATTCGTGGTTTAATATCATAGATAATCCTTTTTATAATAACCAGATTAGTCCCCCGTCAACCGCCGGGACCTTCCTTTCCTGCGCAAGCTTTCTATCCTCCGCTATGGTCCCTTCCTCCTGTGACACCAACACCTCCTGGAAGTGACGCGTATGCAACACAATGGTGTTTCATACAGTAGAAGGGACACAATCATGATATGACGGTAGATTTTTCGCTTCCCTTCCTCATCCTCCCTTCCTCTCTCCACTGCCCTCCAGCTGCCACTGCAGCACCATGTGGAATGAACGGAAGTGTGCTAAGCAGGTGTTTATATAGCCCTAAGAGTGTTATCACAACTATCCTGCTACAAAACATTGATATCTCAAATCCTGTAAGCTACCCGATTTGTTAGCGGTTTGTTTATCCCATGAGCTTCCTTCCTTCTCACTCACTTCGATCTTTGGCGGACGGACTACACAACTAACACAACTCATCACAGCACAACACTTCTACACGACACCTTTGTGTTACATACAGATACACAAACCGACACACAGAAGTTAGCGCTTTATATAATAGACCAGATTAGTCCCCCGTCAACCGCCGGGACCTTCCTTTCCTGCGCAAGCTTTCTATCCTCCGCTATGGTCCCTTCCTCCTGTGACACCAACACCTGGAAGTGACGCGTATGCAACACAATGGTGTTTCATACAGTAGAAGGGACACAATCATATGAACGGTAGATTTTTCGCTTCCCTTCCTCATCCTCCCTTCCTCTCTCCACTGCCCTCCAGCTGCCACTGCAGCACCATGGAATGAACGGAAGTGTGCTAAGCAGGTGTTTATATAGCCCTGAGAGTGTTATCACAACTATCCTGCTACAAAACATTGATATCTCAAATCCTGTAAGCTACCCGATTTGTTAGCGGTTTGTTTATCCCATGAGCTTCCTTCTCACTCACTTTTTCATCTTATGCGTAATCACTTCATTTCGCGGACGGACAGACACACATACATACATACACACACACGCACACACACACACACACATACAGATACACAAACCGACACACAAAGTTAGCGCTTTATAAAATAGAATGATATATACACATTAGATTAAGTAAAACTGCTCTTCCGTATGTAAATGAGACACCTGAGCTGCCGCTTCCATGGCGATCGCAAGAAGATTGGATGAAAATGAAGGGTAAGCAAGGTGGCAGCTCTTCTCGCTATAGAATAATAGGAAAAGGGTAGCAAGTGTGACGTACTAGTTGAAGGCCATCTCGGAGCGAAAGATATGATTATCCTTGATAAAATAAGACTTTCTTTCCGCAACTCTACCTTGATTAGATATGAGTGCTTTTCCGCAGCTCCGCACGCTCAAGTATGAGTGGCCTCCTTCGAACTACATTTTCGTTGCCGGTGTCTGGTGTCTCCGTGTACGAGGGTGAATCATTTTTCCCAATGAGAGAGCGATGCACAGTGGCACATCATGCTTGCCCGTCCATCTGCTGCAGCTCCGCGCAAGTGGCCCAGTTTCAGCAGTACCCTACTTCTCCGTTTGAGCTCTGCCTTACATAGTTGGAGTCTGCCCAGATGAATCTTGGCCTCAAAATCATAATCTCTCCGAATAAGCGTTTGCACCATGAGTTCACTGCAATCATATCCATCATTGGTCCTATGTGTTTTGTAGCCCCATCCGTGCAGCGATGAAAAGTTGAAGAGTAATTAGAACTCGGCTCTACTCAGATTGCCCCTCATTCTGATTAAAGGGGACTATGCGGTACAGTAACGGCACCGAGATAGACAGCCAAGGGGTGTGGTACCGAATTAAACGTGCTGAGACCAAATATAGTACTGTTGATTGGGCGCAGTAGCTGGGATTTGGCCCTGCTAGGGTAGCCCATTGCGTACCGCGTGCGCCACCATGTGGCGCACGATTTCGCACGAAACAGCATAGTTTTATCTGATTTATTTGACATTTTTCAATGCTCTGAACTGTTTGCACTCATTTTCAGAGCCGGGAAACCATACGTGTCATCACTGATAAATTGTTGATAGATTAATGATGATTCATTTTTTGAAAAATAGAAAAAAGATACGAAGTTACATACAACGGGTGGTCCGCATGGGCTAAAGGGGACTATGCGGTGTGGTCACGAAATGAGAAAAGAAGTTCAGAAACTCGTTGGACACCCTACGAAATAAGTAGAATGCGACACTCCCAGACCGGTAAAAAACAGAACTCAGTTTTTCTCCTCATAGAACCTCTGAACCTTGGTATTTTTGGTGCTTTCATCTGCCAGCAAGGTTTGTATGATTCCGTCTGTTGTAAGTGAGCTTTGAATTTTCTTCTGCTTTCCTTAATAAATGCCGTCTTATTCGATGTAGTTCCGCTATTTTGAAAATTACAATAAACATTTCTTCTTTTGTTTTCCTTTGATCAAACATGTTATAATCTCTTGTTCAACCAAATTAGCGATGAAATGGACCGACATGGTTCTTTTTCGTCTCATTAGTGCAGATTGTGCTGGGAACACACTGAACCCATATGCTTGTAATTATACGACAATTGCGAAAATTCTAAGAATCCCGGAACATGCATAAGACGTTGCACGTCCTTCGATTACGTCACCCCACAGCCATTTCCAATCTCAGCAAGAGAAATCCAGCATTCACTGTTTCAGAGCAGTTTTTTTGGGCGTTCGAGTACTTTCCATGAAGAAAACATCGTATCCGTAAAAGTGCAGCAATGAAACAGCACTGGGGCCATCTGAGCCTCTCCCTCCATTACTAGCATGTGGGACGATACCATAATTCCGAGAAACGGACGCAGCAATATACTTGTTACTTGCAATACGGCAGGCGTGGGAATTACTCATTCCATTTAGTGCATTAGAATCGCCTCCACAATGGCAGAAAAACGTTTGAACCAGAGTGAGTACCTTTGAAGATGCGTGAACTCAGCAAATCGCTACATTTATAGCAAAAAATAATGACGTTTTAAGGAGGCTACGGAAGGGTGTAGTGGAAGAGTAGTGCTGATTATCACGTGCACGGTCCGGGATAAAATATCGGGGATGTGTAATAGTCATAATCTTCGCATTATCTCTGGGTGTTTGTAATCGGTTCAAGACTTGTCGGTACGAAGTTATTACGAATCGCTGAAAGGTGCATTCGCTATCCTCAAGAACTTATATCGCCCTCCCACTGCGATTAAATAGAAGAATAATAGAATGCGTGGCGCATCCCAATAAAGATCCGAATAGTGTCGAATGCATTCTTCATCAATCCTTTGAGTTATTCATTCGAGGTGGGCCATGCGCTTGCCATTCATTCAGAATTGCAGGGTGTTTTAATGGGTGATGGTTAAGTTAGGAGATATTTTTTGTTCTGCCAGATATGTGTAGGATGGCCCAATGGGAATAATTGTATGCATTTGTTAGGATTGGCTAGGGTGTACGAGCGCAGATCTATATAGGAGCGTCTGGCTGCGCTACGGTCGTTGGGCTTCTTGAACTCGGTCCTATAAACCCCCTCAATTTGATGTCTCCGCCTGTGCGGCGTAAATAGCTGGCTTCATGAAGTACTGTGTCTCTCAAGCATTCTAAAAGCTTTCACCCACTGAGACTGCGCTCTCACCCTGGATGTCACTCACCGTTCCTCCAAAGCTTAGTCCCCCTGCCTAAGGCTCTCACTCACTCCATGGAATTTGCTAGCCATGCGCAAAACGCCGTCCCTAATTGTCTGTGCCATTCGTGGCAGGACCATGAAGGGAAAGTTTGAAGTAGTCCGTCAACCCCCATATTACTTTGCGCCACACATGAATTCAGAGAGCACACCTGGAATGCTCTATACCTAGGCTGTCGTCATACTTCGATCAGCGGATTATGACGTTTTCGGCTTCGGAAGCCATATCGATGCAATAGTTGTAGAAAAAGTGAAACCTTGGAAAATCTATGACTCACTTTAGAGCAGTTGAATGTGTAGAACAAGA